GAAATACGAAAACATCAAAGTTAAAGGTGTCAACAACTAAAAATAAGCGATTCTTGGTCTAGCCGTGATAAGCACTATTCATCACAGACATTTAATTACTCCGAAAGTATGTAATGATGGTATGAGGAAGAGGCTAGACTACTAGGAATGTGTGCTACATGTAACACTATGTTTAATGCAAAGCAGTTCTAAAAATAGTTTGGTGCTAGGTTATACATTTCAGGGATATTTTTGGTTTCTTTTCTTCAGACAAATATGACAGTGTCTTTGGCTGATTTACTGAACAACTACTGTGATACCAAACATGAGGCAGATCATTGTTAGGTGCTTCGTGAATTAGGACAGGATTTTATGAATTCCCATAAAATTTTAGGGATATCAGAAAGGACAAGGATAAATCTAGCCTCAAGGATACCAAAATGCAGAGTTAAACCCTTTAAGATTTCTCTTCTCTTGGCTTTTTCTTATCTACCGGCTTGCTCCCCACTTTAATAACACAAAGCCTGCCCTGTAGTTTTAAACACTCCTAGACTTACATTCCCTATAATCTCATGAGCAAAGAATGAAATTCTTCCTTACTGGCGGTATGTCATATGCCATCTCCGACTATGGCCCAGACATCCCATAGGATGAATGATCACACGTCTTATCATTCAGGGGATCAACAACTGTAGTTAACACAAAAACACAGAGAAAGCCTAGTTTCCAAATGGAGAAAAAAATATTTATCAGAAGAAGGATACAATCCTATACAAACTGATCAGCAACCAGGAAAGGGCACAAGGATAAAATGTAGTTTAGGACCCAAAACTTTCAGAATTTAGCAATGAGCTCAATTAAAAACTAACTGTAACACTGTTTGTGAGTGTAATAACAAACGTATACAAAAGGACTAATAGAGAAATAGCCAGACAGAGTTCAGCTCTGCAAAAAGAAACGGTAGTTCTCCAAGAAAGAGTTCCATAGGGATCACATTGGAATTGTGTCTGAAATACTGAAAGGGACTTTTCCAAGTGAAGGCAAATAAGTGAATTCCTAGGAAAGCTGTTGAAATGGAGATTTTTATAAGGTATAAAACAGGACTATGCCTTTGCAGATTGGTGTGTGTTCCAGCACTGTTTTAACAGATGGGTCATGAGGATGGGACGTAGACTGAGAGAGAGGAATCAACAGTTAGGTAGAAATCATGTCACAAAAGCCATTGAATGTCATGGCAATGATTTCAAACGCTGTAAGACTAATCAGAAACTCTACCTTCAGGTTGAGTAGTCATAAGTATACCATAAGTACTGTATCTGGCAGGCAGTCCACTGACTGGGCTGAGCAGTTAAATGTATTACTTTCATTCACTGTTTCTCAATCAGGGCATAGCCACATGTTTCAGTGACATTGTATCCATATTAGAAGACATTGTTTTTTTCTGGATTTAACCAAGCCCCTTCTCACAAAAGCTAGGTGGGTTTGTATTGCTAACTATAACACGTGCAGACTAAGTGGATTAGTACAGCACCCATTTATTTCTCACAGTTTTCATGGATTTGCAATTGAAGTTGTATTAGTTTGCTGCATATTCTGTGCAAGTCATGCATGGCTTCAGTCAGTATAGTAGGTGTACTTCCTGCTTGTCTGAGACCTGAGGTATTTTTTCAGAATCGTTCAGGTTGTTGGTGGGAATTCAGTTACTTTTACTCCTAGAACTCATTGTAATCTCCCTCCTCCTCAAGACCATCAAAAAACAAGTCTCTAATATTTCAAATCTCTCTTTTTATGAAGATCTTCTTCTGCCTGCTTAAATTGGGTCTGCTCTGGATACTATTCTTTTGATTGACTGAAAGTGATTTGGGCCCTGAATTGCATCTTTCAAATCCATTTGTCCTGAGAACATACTTATAGGAACAAAATCCATCATATGACAATTTCGCCTACACTCAAGGGCAGATTAACGTGTAAACTATGGAGGAGGAGAAATCTCAGGAATCGTTTCAAAAGTCTGCCTATCACAGCCTTATTAAACATCCCTACAAAAGTTGTTCTAGACTGAATAAAGACTCCACAAAGACATCTCTATGTTTATTCCCACCTCCTGTGAATGTTATATGACAAATCATGCAGCTGTTATTAAATCAAGGACTTTGTAACAGAGGAGTTGTCTACACTACCATAGAGAGCTTTAATTGCAGCTAAGTGAGTCATTATGAAAGGAAGCAGAAGTGAGTGGATACACACAGAAGAGAAGACAATTTAACCACACACAGCCTGTAGTGATACAGTCCTAATCAGGAATACTGGCAGCCTCCAAAAGTCAGAAAAAGCAAAGAAAAGATTTTCCTCAAATCCTTAGAGGAGTACAGCTCTGGCAGTACTGTGATTTCAGCTCAGTCACTGATTTTGGATTCCTGAACCACAGAATTGTGAGAATAATTTTCTGTCTTTATAAATGAGTAAGTTCATGCAATGCTTTTAGTGCAGCAACAGGAAACTAATACAGCTAGTACTAATAATGGAATAAAGAAAATAAAATCAATGTAATAATAGATAAGCTCCATGACAAGAGTTAGATGCTAACAACCAGTTCTTTATCAGAATGTTATAAACCATGATGGCACAAGTGGGTCTGGTGGGCTAGGAATGTAGCTCATTGGCAAAGAGTTTGACTAGCTTGGGTAAGATCCTGGGTTCCATGCCTCCCACCAGAAAACAGATATAGATCTGGTGAGACAAGCCATGATTAAAAAACCAGTACTGCAAATAAATAAATATCAAGAGGATTATCTAAGAGCACAACTGTTAAAGTAGATCTTATCTTACAGTATCTCTTGTCTCCATAACTAAATAGCACTACCATGATTAATAAAACCTTTGCAAGAAATGCTTATTTCATCTTTAAGGTTCCTTGTGTAATGTTTGTAATGTTAGCTATACAACTTTGTGGCCCATGAATATAAGTAAATAATTAGGTGCATATCTGGTAGGGTGCATGTTTTACTTACGTATGCACTGTTAGGAGTGGATAAACTAAAAGATTGAAGATCATAATCATTAAAAAAAGAAAAAACTAAAAAGCCAGCGGAGGCTTGGGATCATCAGCTTGTCATGATTAAATTCATACTTCAGAAACAAAATTTGCAGTAGGTAGTAGGTAGGAAAGAGAAGAATGAAAGCAGGAAACCTGGTTGAGAATCTTTTGCAGGAGACTAGTCCTACTAGGTCAGTAAGACTGAATTTTAGATGAAGCAGGGATTAGTCATTTTGTTAACAGTATCAGCAGCATAGGACCTGCCAACAGAGTGGCTGTGTCTGTGCTTTATATTGATACTAAAAACGTTTCTTTGTTTGATGAGCCACACTGCTCCTATTTTACAAAATTATGTATCCAACAAATTCCACTGATTTACTGTTGCTATTACCCAGTTCAATAGTAATGACTCTTAGGGTTATTCCACAAATACTGGGAGTTCAGTATTCTTTCAGGGTGTGGAGAGAAAATTAAATTATAGTAAATGGCCTTTCTTAGGCTGTACAGGATCTAGATACTGAACTGTGACCACGCCTATGTTACACCTCTATATACCAGGCCTGTGTTACGCCTATATTAGGAGAACTATTGAAAGAGGAGAGGAACATGAGATAGGGTTAAGCAGTACTCCAACTGCTTAAAACCAGGGATCTCCCCATTATCTGGAGAAAGTTGTTCCCCCACCAAGGAAACAACAGATGACCGATAAACCGTTCTCTCTGGAGGTTCTTTGAGTTCTCTCTGGAGGTCCCCAACTCTTCTGCAAGCAGGAACACTATTTCAAGATCCTTTTCATATCCTGGAATTATGCTTTGGCTTCTACTAATGAGCCACTAAGAGAAAGGAAGCGATCACATTCAAATATAGCAGTTTTCTGTACAACTGTTCTCAACCATATCTAATTTGATTTCTAATTATGTGATTAGCTAACCTGATTAGCTGTGTCTGGAATACGAAATGCAAGCAGAACTTTGCTAGAGAAGGGGAATTTACTGTTAGATTAAGCATTCCAAAGTAGAGTCATAAATATTCCTACAGTTGCAAGTGACCTTGAATGTTTATTTGGTTCATCCTCCTTTGGGGTAGATCTAAGTACAGGTGATTCCAATCAAATATCCCACTTTGGAACTGTTCAAGTGTAATGAAATACAAAAACTATGGAAAACTTAAATGCTATGAACAGTGTCTACAAAAAGTAAAATTAAATTCCCTTGGAAATTCTTTAAAAATTTTTATCATGTTTGCAGTTAGAAGCCATCCTGAATTCTCTTCCTCTTTATTTACCTTCCTTTTTTTTTGTACTGGGAATTGAACTCAGTACCTTCTGTTTGCCTGGCAGGCACTATGCCACTGAGCTGTATCCCCAGCCCCTTAAACTTCACTTTATTCCTTTTCTCTTTTCTTCTAAAGCAAATCACTTCTTCAGTTTTGTTTGAGTTTCAGTTTCCGACAAATAATAGTGAGCAAAACACAAGCCTCCAATTATAACTATCAAATTAAGACCACTAATTATCTACATGTATTCACTGTAGACAAAATGCAGAATACATAAAATTATTGGGATAATTAAAAATATTTTGTAGCCCATATAAGTCCTTTTCCTGACATTTTGATTTATATTTGGAAAAGATGGTCTGGCTTAACCAGAATCCTCTTGAATGTTTCCACAATAAAAATAGAATTTAATTTCTAATGATCCTGTAACACCAAAGCCAAGTTGCTCGACACTTGATCAATATTACCTTTCTTTTTAAATGGAAAATAGGCAAAATACTCTTCAGTCTTTGTGATTTTCTACAACTATATTTTTCTTATGGCTTTATACAGTTTTTTAAATTATTGTGTTGTACATTTATTTTATTTCTATACTTCCCCAACAATGGAGTATCCTGAGCCCAGGATCTCCTAATATGTTGTATGTTCTTCATTTGAAAACTCAAACCCTTAATAATTAACAATAACAACAACAATAATAAATGCTCCAAATAGTTAATTCAGTGTTTACTGGATGTTGGTCACTGTACAATTATGCTTTAAATTCAGTGGTTCATTTAAATAGTACTACATTCCTATAGAGTAGGATCTAGTTTATTCAGGAAGAAACTGACATGCAGGCTAATGTTTATGGGTTCTCAAACAGTAGCTCCAACAATGGGATTAAATGTGCAGTAATTGTATTGTGTAGAGAGACAGGAACAGGAAGGACCTAAAAGGGCTGGGCCTGGAGGGGATGGGTGGGGCAGATACCACTGCAACTCTGCAAGAGAATGAAGAAGTCAGGGAGAGAAAACTGGGAAAGAACATCCTCCAGACTGCCTTCCACGTAGGGAAGCTTGGGAAAAATTACCCAGAGTCCATGAGCCCCCAGCACTGAGGAAAAGAATTTCTTAACTACAATGCAGAGGTCAGACCAATAAATTCTCTTGCCCCCCTTCACACTCCTTTATCAGGCAGATCAGCCCAGAGAGGACCTGATCTCAATTCCAGAAAAATAGTAGATGTCAAAGGCGGTAGACTGACCGGTGTGTCACATTCTCTGTAGGTTCTGGGGGTGCATTCTCATGGCCACCAGAACTAGTTAGGTAAAACCGAATTTCAGTCTCATACAACCCTAGAGAACGTTCCTTCCAGTGGGAGAAAAAAAAAAAGACTCATGCCTCAAAAGCCGTTCCTTTCTAAATCAAGTCAGAAATACCTTCATGGGATACTGGGAAGTATGTAGGTATGGGAGATGCATGCCTGCCTTCCTGCAGGTCCTGCCCTGCCCCACCCAGCAATTCTTCAATGTCCCATTGTCCCACAGCTTGTTCCACTAGGTCAGCCCCTTAAAAGATTAATGAATCAGTTACCTACTGGGTTGCAACCTCACTCAACATCAGTGGCTTTATGATCAATCCTTAACTACTGCAGTTCCCACACTTGTGAGTTGGTGAGATGGATGTATGTAAAGTCCATTGACGCGGGGCTCACTTTTATACCCGGTGTTCAGAGTGGGGCTTCACTGTGGGATAGGTTTGGCTGGAGACAAGGAAGCCTTAGGAGGCCCAGCGGCATTCCACACATCTCTCAGCTTTCTTCTTCTGAAGTATGACTCAAGCCTGTCCTTCTCATGGCGATGACAGATAGGCAAGTGTCTGAAGAGGAAACAGACAATGCCTAAAGTTAGAACTGGAACATCAACCTTCAGACTTATGCCACTGGCAGGGACAAATCACAAGGTCAAAGCATATGCAAACTAAGGTTAGGGAGTCATACCTACTCCTCTACCATGAAAGCATTTAGGCACAAGGCAGAGGATGCAGCCTCAGCAAAAACAAAAACTTGAGGCTATTGATGAGAAATAACACAACTGGGAATCTTGGCTTACTGTGGACTTTGATCTATTGGAAAGCAAGGTGTAAAATATATATTGACTCAGTTCTGTACAAGAGATTTTGCTTGACTCTGAAGGAATGCCTTTCCTTTTAATGGAAGAAACAGATATAAAAGTATGTTATTTATGCCTTCTGTCTGATCCCTGCTTCTCTGTGAATTTAAGTACCCACAGGTCTGTGTCCTGGGCTGTTCTTTTTCCTCATTATTTCCTAGACAATATCTTTCATTCTCATGGCTTTTAAATAAAACAGTGTGTGTGTGTGTGTTTGGAAATTCATTCTGTATTTCCTCCCCCTGTCCTTGGTTCCCATGTGCCAGCTCCATTGGTCCTTTTTTATCCTCCAATGAGGTCATCCCTCCCTTGGGCATATATTCACTTAGACCAATAAGGTTAGTGCCTCAACTTATGGAGGTCTCAGTTTAATTGGCCCTTTCTCTCAGAAGTTTACCATTAACCATTCTCTACTACTATAAATAACAGTCCTTCCACCCAGGTACTCTAATCAGAACACTGGTCATTCTTCTCAACTTTTCTTCGAGCTTTCACTTCAAATTTACTAATAAATTGTATTGATTCTTCCCTAAAACCTATTTCCCAGAACCTATCTACACTTATGCATACCTACTTTGGCAACAGCTATTCCTCTGCATTCATTTTCTCCCTGGTCTCTGTGCCAACTCAGATATGGCACATAGCAGCCCTGGAAACTTGAATATATTTCCTGGCTTCACAGTATCTGTTTCAGAACCTCTCAATTGGATTAGCCTCCAAAGGTTAATGCACTAAGCTAGATTGTGACTTCCAAGATGTACATCTGCTCAGGGGCCTCCAAATGTGATCTTATTTAGAAGTAGGGTCTTTCTAGATAGGGTAGGTTTAAAGGAAGTAACGTTAGCTTAGCGCAGTCCCTAATCCAATGCCTGATGGCTTTATAAGAAGACAGATATTTGGATTTAGAGACAGTGAGGTGAGAGAAGATAAGGCACAGGGAACTCCATTTGTCAAAAAAGGTTGAGCTTGAAATAATGACCTGCAGGGCAGCATATAACAAAAATTACTTGAAGCTAGAAGAGGAAAATGAAGGATGCCCCCCCACCCAGTCTCCGGAGATAGCATAACCTATGATCCAGTATGCCAGGCTCCAGAACTGTGAGAGAATGAACTTCTTTTAGTTTTACGTCCCCTAAGCAATGCTGGTATATTGCAGGGTCCCGAAGAAGCTAACACAGTTTTACAAAAATTAAGTAAGACAATTTGTGTAAAAGGTTTACAGTTGTGCCAGCAGCAAGCATGAGATAACTTATAGTCAACTGGTTTTCATTATCATTTCAAATACAGATTAAGACTCTCAAATTGCAAGTGTAGCCAGAATATATCCCTGTCCTTCAGACCCTTGTCCTTGTGTGACATGGTAGCCTCCGCCTCTGTCTGTAAATGCTCATGTTTATGTGCACTTACACTGTGCACCCCCAAAGGGCTGCCACAATTGTCCTGATTCCTGCATTTATCTTAGGGCCTGGCATAGAAGTCAGCACTACCTTTCTAGACAATATGCAATAAATAAGTACATAAAGGACTGTAAATAAAGTATAGTCAATATGATTAAACTGTACATCATGATTCATCAGAGATAAAATGGATAAGCTAGCAGGACACCTGGGACAAACTAAAAGACATTTGACAGGAAGGAAAGCCACCAAAGTGCTTTCATTTCAAAACTGTCTTTTGTTACATGAATGACTAACCAAAAACCCAGGAGGTCAGGAGTCCACCCGAAGGTGATCAGTTTACAGTGTAAACTGACACCACTATTCTTTTTCTTCACCAAAGAGTCTTTCCCATGCATTATGCCACTTACATTAAAGAGAGAAGGAGCTGGAAACTTAAAAAAAAAATGAAAAAGGCACCAAGTGTGGAGGCACAGCCCTATAATCTCAGCACTCTGGGAGGCTGAGGCAAGAGGACCTCACGTTTGAGCTTTGCTCTGGCAACCTACCAAGAGCCTGTCAAAATAAAACCAAGAAGGGTTTCATGGTGTAGCACAGTATGAGGATTCTGGGTTCCATTCCCAGTAACTCACGCAGAAAAGAAAGAGCTAAAATGAGAGAAAAAGGAGTGGGGAGAAAAGGAAGGAGGGAGGGAAGGAAATAATGGAAGAAAAGAAACTGAGAGAGTAACCCAGGACAAAAATGAGACAGAGGAGATGAGAGCATTTACCAAAGATTCCAGGATTGCCAAAGAGTGATTCAAACTGATAGGAAGGAACTCACATTCCTGAAGTGCAGTGAAAGAATGTGTAACTGAGGGAGGAGAGACCAAATGCCTCAAGTGCAGCAAGTGTGTGATCTGGGGAGGAAAAGAGAAATTTCCTGAATTGAGACACCACCGAAAGCACCTAGCGTTTCTAAAACGCTGTTATCTATGGATACCCACCTTAGCTACAAGCCCACCTATTTGCCCTTAAAAGCTCTTGCCAACTCTCTGTCTCTCTGGTTGCCATCAAAAGGATTAAAACAACAAGAACCAGGAACTAAAAATGTAGCTTAATTCAGGAGACGGCAGTAGCACTGTACGTGCCTGGCAGTGAAGGCACCATTATGTAGAATCCTTTATCCTGTAAATCCTCAAAGTCCAGCACTAGCATGAAGGTGAGGATAGCTCTGCTTTAGTATTTGAATTCTGAATGAATGAACAGTGTTGGTATTCCTTCTACCTACACTCCATGGTAAGTACTGTTTTAAAGTCACTCATCTAATCCAACAACTCATGGCTTCATAACCCTCCTCTATCAGTGTTCAATGGCTCTCTCAATCCCAACTAAATCTGTAGTGTGCACAGGAAAAATACCTCACAGCTTCACCTTAGCTGTGTCCACAGATGTTCAAAACCTTACTTCCTAACCACGTCATTCTCTGAAATCAGCCGTTTCTTACAGTTTCATAATTTTATCTATCTTTCCTAATGATGGTGACAAAGAATAACTTAGTGATTTACTTGTGAATATTTGCCAAAATAAAAATTTGGCTATAACTTTACATTCCCGTGTAATTTTAATATATTTCCACATATGTGCATACCCATATATGGAATATATTATGTGTAGTTCAGTATACACAATTTACAATCACACACTCTATATCCATAGCGTATACATTATTCTTTACATTTCTTAAATAATAATTAAGAATTCAAAGTGCGCACACACATTAATACTATCAAATATTACTGTTTAAATATTTAATAGTGATTTGTTTGTAGTTTTAATAGAAGTAGTGAAATAAGCCGTTGGGAGATGAATGTCTTATATTCTACATATGACTTTTCTGACAATTTTAAGAAATTACTCAGAAAACTTTAACTAACATAGTTAATTTTGAAGCCAGTGTTTAGTTACAGAAATTAGGTCGTTCTGTGCTTTGTAATTATGATGTGCTCTCACTGCCTTTTAGATTTATTCTTATTACAATTTATTTTTAAAACACATTTTATTATGTATACTTGACATCTATGTCTTAGTTATTTTCTTGTTGCTGGTAAAAACTGCTCAACACCTCAAGTTGAAGGCAAAGAAGTTTATTTTAGCTGACAGTCTGTGAAGGTTTCGGTCTGTGGTTGGTGGCTCCAAGGCAGGGTGGCATGGCAGAGAGACATCCTCGATGGCAAGACAAGGTGGAAAAAGTAAGCCTTCCTTCCTTCTTTTTTATTCCAAGCCTATTGGTTGGTGCCACCCACAACCAGGTTGAGTCCTGCTCTTCAGTAAACCCATCATCCACACCCAGAATTCTGCTAAACCCATCTGTGGACAAATCTAGTACTACACACCCATGTACCAGCATCATACACCCATCACCCAGCCACTTCCCAAAAGCCCTCTGAGCACACGTGCTCTGGAGCGACATCTGGATATAAACCATAGTGATATGTGGCATCATGCTACGAGATACAAGCATACAGTGCAATGATTGCCATGGTTAATCAAATAAAGCTGGCATATCCATCCTCTTACATTACCTTTGATATTTACACCATCCCCTGTGGCAAGAGCAGTTATAATCTATGCACATAGCACAAATCCTGAGTATAACACACCATATCAGCTGCTGTCCTCACGCTGTATATTAGAGCCTTCACCTTGTGCAGCCTATCTATACATTTGCTTCTTTGTGTTCTTTGATGTACATCTTTCCGTTTTCTCCCTTCACTCCCCTCTCTGATCATCACAATTTTATTTTCTGTTTCTATGCTCTGTCTCTGTCTCTCTGTCTGTCTTTCTGTCTCTCTGTATGTGTCTCAGTCTCTGTCTCTCACTCTCTTTCTCACTTTCTTCTTCCTTTGCTCCCTCCCTTATAAAGTCAAAGGATGCTAATTCACTTAACATGTGTCTGACTAATTCTCTTATCATGATGTCCTCCAAGTCCTTCTACATTGTAGAAAAGGAAAGTGTCTCCTGTCTATATGGTTAAATAATATTCTATCACATACATATGTATATGTATCTGTGCATGCATGTATATTTTACATGCATGTGTTATGGGCATTTTACAAGGGTGTGTTATGCACATTCATTCTGGTGTGTCAGCTCACTGGATTAGGGACCGCCTAGCAGATTAGCAGAGCTCATTCCTGGATGTCCCTGAGTGGTTCGATGAGGCCTGACCTCGGAGCTTCTCTGTGGCTCTGTATGCTGCAGTTCCCCAGTTCTGCTTCTCAGTGGCCAGGAACTGAGCAGCTTGGTTCCACTTGTCTGACCCTTCTGCTGTGGGGTTTCTGCCTTGGAGCCTGGGATCAGGGGATGAATTTCCTGGAACTGGCAGCTGAATTGAACTTTTGCTCATTTTAGTTTTGGGCACCAGGGACTGTGTCTTGGTGACAGGCTGACTAATACACAAATATGTAATATCTCTGTGTACGAGGGTGTCTTGCAGTTTCTTAATCCAGTTCCACTGATAGACACGTAAATGGCTTCCACATTTTGGTATTGTGAATGACAGCGCCATGCCCAGGGGTGTGCACATGCACCTTGGAGGTAACAGTTTCATTTCCTTTGGACATACACCCTGCATGGGGACTGATGGGCCACACCATAGTCCTATTTTAATTTCTTCAATTTATTGAAGAGACTGTCCTTTTCCCATCTATTCTTCTTGGTGCCCGCATTAGAAACTATTTGGGCAAACATGCTAGTGATCATCTCTATACTCTTGACTTTGTTTCACTACTCTATGTGTCTTGTGTCTGTCTGTTTGTTTGTCTTGTGGGCTGTTTGGTTGGCTTTTTGGTACTGTATTATTTTTATGAGGTCAGTTTTGTGATTAACTTTAAATTAGGTAACATGAAGCCTCCTTTTTGGATTTTCTTTCCCTCTTAGAATTACTGAGGCTATTTGAGGTCCTTTTGGTGATACACAAATTTTAAGTTTTTTTCTTTATATAAAGAAACTCACTAGGAATTCGGTAGGGATGGCATTGAATCTTTACAAGATTTTGAATGATATCCAGTTTTAAACCGTGCTATTTTGGTTCATGATCGAGGAAACATCTGTTTGTATCTCTACCCCTTTCTTTCATCAGTATTTTCTAGTTTCTGTGTATAAATCTTTCACCACTTTGGTGAAATTTATTCCTATTTTATTTCTAATGCATTTGTAAGTGGCATTAATTCATTTATTGATTTGTTTTTCAAGACTGTGTATAGAAATGCCCTAGTTTTTGTTTATAAATCTATAAATGGTATAAAAATCATTACATCATGCAACTTTGCTAACTTTGTTTAGTATACCTTTGAGGGGTTTTTTTTAGAAGCATCATAGTTTTTACATATACAAAAAGTTTTTTACATCTGTAAAAAGTGCTATTTTTATTTTATCCTTTCTTATTTGGTTTTATTTTGGCTTATTTCCTTTATTTTGTCTAATTATACTTAATAGTACTATGAATGCTATGCTGATTAGAAGGGGCAAAAGTGGACATATCTGCCTTGCTTCTGACCTTAAAGGAAAACTTTTCAGTTTTTTCTGTTAAACTATGTTAATCATAAAATTTCTTTTTATGTCTAAATTATTAAAAGTTTTAATCAAACAGGAGTATTGAATTTTAGTAAATGCTTTTCTGCATGAATTGATAAGATCTTTTTCTTTTCGTCTTTCACTCTGTTTGTGAGAGCTATCACATCAAAGGATATGCTAACTCAGCATGCTGAGAATAAATCCCAATACATTTGCGCTCCACGATCGTTTTGAATTTATTCATATTCTATTGACATTTTATCAATATTCATTATAGATTCTGACCTGATGGGTTTTTCTTGCTTTCTTTGCACTTTTAGCTATCAATATTGCATGACATTTACTTTATTTTCCTAGAATTCTGACACTATAAGGGTATGTCACATGCCCAACTTGGACATGATATTTTAAATGTAACCCTGATCCTGTCTTCCCCTGCTGTATTAGTTGGCAATGTGGTAGGAAATCAATCTCCATGCAAATGGAAGAATTGAGAAAAGCTAACAGAAGGGACTGCTTTCAAAAATATGGGTAATACTAAAGCAAGGTAAAGCTTCCAGGACTACAAATAAGAAAGCTACACCACTCAGTCTAAGAGTCAAAGGGTAGAGAGTCTTTACCAACTTGCAAGCAGTAGAGGAAACGAATGCCAGATGAGACTGTACCCCCCAGAAAAGGAATGTAGCTACTGATTCAGGACAGGAAACCAAGAAGCAGAGAAATAGATCAAGAGTCCTGTATACAAGGTTTATTAAGAAAATTCTCTTAGCAGAAGTATGTAAGAAATTAAGGAGAGAGGAAACTACAAAGAAAGTACTTAGGCAAGAATCTGATTTCTGGAGAGACTTAGGCTCAAAGGCATCACACAGAAAAGTCTAGAGCACAAACTTTTAGCAAAGGTTTGCCTGCCCTGAAAAAGAGGCATAGCCCTCCATCAGTCAGTCTCTGGCTATGGGTTAAAGTCTCAGAAAGTGAAGTTTAACTTCTCAAGCATCACTGGGTGAGACAGCTTCGATTACCTTTGGGCAGTCCTACAGAAAAACGTGTCAGCTGGAGCAGTTATCAGACACGATCTACAGCAGCTCAGAGAGGGGTGCACTAAGGTGACCAAAGGCGAGCTCTAGGGTCCATCTGCTTCTAGGAATAAGACTGGCATTTGGTCTCAGCTTCTCCAGAACTTGGGTCGGTCTCAATTTCTGGGAAAGCTTGGAGGAGTCACATTAGCAGAGTAAATTACAACCTTCTCTGTTGCAACTGGCCTCAAGGCTGTTATTAGTACTTATCATCTTCTTCACCTACAATTCTAGATTGTTTTTACTCTTAGCCAAAGCTTCAGATGGTGGAGCTGGCTTTTCCTGCGAGGTACCTCAGACCTTCATTTCTTTTTTTTTTTTTTTTTTTTTGTCTTTTTCGTTTTTATCGGTACCAGGGATCGAACTCACGACTGCCTGCTTGCAAGGCAGGTGCTTATGCCGCTGAGCTAAATCCCCAGCCCCCAGACCTTCATTTCTGAGAAGCTAGATTTCCTATTTATCATATCTTTCAACAACAATGACTGTTGTCATGATAATCAGCTTTTATCTCCTAATTACCCGATGACCCTTGCTTACACATCTGCTCTCCATGACCAGGAGCATTCCAACACATGCATTTTGAAAGGTCTTCTCTTCTACAGGTAGCACGGACCTCTTCCAGAATCTCAGCAGTTGATTTGAAAACTCTTCTGTCGTGGCTTGCCAGATACTCCATGCAGCTTCATTACCTGCCAGAGATAATTCATGTACCAGTCTAGGCTCTTTTGGGACATATGCACCACTTGGTGGGACAGCTTGTACTAAAGAGCCCACACATGCCCCTTCTTGCTCATGGCTCACTGAAAATTGGAAGCTTTCCATGTGATTTGCCAAGTCACTCTTCTGTGCACTGTTCCCCAGCATGGTATCTGTTATACTTCATTTCTTTCTAAATAGTCACAGGCACACAATTCAATCACTTCACCTTTTATCTTGGAGGGGATTTCCCAGTACGCTCTAGAACCACTGGCTACCTAAAAGCATAAACGATGTAGCAAACTGCTACATTTTGCGAAGCTTACCCCTCACTCTCTGAAGCACAAGTCTTATTACGACATCAGAGCCCCATGTAGGCTGTAAATTCAGCTTTCTCGGAAGTTCTGCTGTTCTCACAGTTAAATCGTGTATCTGTTTAGCAGCTCAGTATGCCTGCTGTTGCAAATGACAAGTATCTCTTTACAGATTGCCAAAGAGGATTGTTGACATTTGTACTTCATTTTAAAATGTTAACTATTCTTTTGGTCTCCTGGATGCACCAAAACAAAACAAAGAATAAGACAAACATACAAAACACAAGAGATATTCACTATGTAATTCTACCTTCCTTAATTTTATTATTTTTCATTACATGTCAGAAAGCTAATGCCTTTCCATCATCGCAGCAGTTGTACTATTACAATAAAAAATAAAAAAGACTACTAATATTCTATTTTCCATGAAGGAAGAGGTCTTCATTTCATCCAATTGAGGAGAGATCCATCTCTAGAAGTAAATCTTTAGTAAATCTTTAGATGCTTTATGGAAATATTGTTGATGAACTAATATCTAAAATTATTCTTTTAGAAAGAAGGTTCTTTTGAAAGAGAGCTTGAGGCAGGGAATCATACAATGCATTGATAAACCCAGGAAAATCCTTCAAAGAGGGAATGGGAGGGGTAAGAGTGTGGTTCAGTGGTATAGGCTTGCCTAGCATGCACAAGGACCTGAGTTCAATCCCAGCACTATTGAAGAGAGAATGTAGATAGGATACAGAAAAACCAGAAGCTATACTATCATTTGGTTTCAGAAAAAAAAAAAATTCGTGTTCAGTCTGATCATAATCTGTGGAGGACCAATTGTTTACAGGGTGTGTATTGTCTACACACAAAAGGGCTAGTCTTTTACAGCAGGCCTTCTTTCTTCCAGTAGAGATGGTTTATTTTGAAATGGTGCAGGATAATTTTTGAATTGCTCATTATTGTCACGCTTGAAATCATAGCAGCCAATGTCCAAAGCACCACAACAATGGGTTTAGCATCCTAACCAGGAAGACGGTGTACCAATGTCATCTATCAGATCTGCCTCATTCTCTTCCTGTCCTTTGGTTTCCTAAAGGTGTTGCTATTTGGCTGAAGCAAGAAGGAAAAACACTATGGATCTAAGTGCAAATATTTGTTTCCTGATGCACAGAGCAAAATGTAGAAAATTGCAGAATAGATGTAGAGGCACAAAGAGAAAATGTCCAGCGCTTGTGCATACAGTCATCTTGGACTTTCACATGAACTAAGAAATAAAGTCCAAAGTCTTTAACCTGCTTGGCTCTTCACAGTGTTCATTTGCAACTTCACATTTCTTACTTCCCTACTCAGTATATAAACTGGCCAAAATGTCACAAAGTTCCACTTATGAAATGCTTTTCTTCCTATCTGGCTTTACCCTTCCCAGTCTCAGTACAAATCCTCTTCACAGTGGCAAACATTGACACACGGACACACACACACACACACACACACACACACACACACACAAAGTCTATCATGACATTCCTCCTCTACTATCCTTCTTTATAAACTTTTTCCCAAATAAGATGTGAATCAGACAACAAGGATAGCTTTATTTTTATATTGTTTTGGCACACAGTAGAACCGATTACATGGATGCAAGAAATTATGATTCAGTCATGGCCTTAAAAATTTAGCATCATTTAACATCATTTTAAATAATATCGCCCTCTCATTCCCAAATATGAATTTTCTCCATGACAATCTGTTTCAGTAATATCCTTTTCCTGTATTTTTATAAAATCTATGATTTTATTACCATAGTTCTGTCAGGTGCCCATTTCTTTTACCAGAATCTGAATAATGTATCACTGTTTTTCCCATGTTTTTCCTGTAAATATTATAAATGGTGATCAAAATTCCCAGTAAATGGTTAATATTTTCAACAAAAAAAGCTATATTGCAATTAACCACCTACAAATATTTCCCCTCGATTCCAATACACTTAGTCCACCATTTTTTGCCACTTTCTGAAGCAGTTCTGAAAGGCTTCTTTCTTGAGGGTGTTTTTGTGGTATGATCAGAAAAACTGTAATGCTCCAGTTCAGTACCACCACATGGAAAAGCAGGCTTGCGAAAAACATTTTGATGTGTCTCATTCAGCTTATTCACTGTATCTGATTTAGTGAGACTTCTGGCTCTTCACCAAAGTCAAAAGGACCATTAAAGGCAGATATTTTTGAAGTGAGTCAGGACCTCCCGTTTGCCTTGACAATTCAACTACAGACGTTCATGAAGCAAGACTTCCCAAACTGCTTCAGAAAACGGCAAGAACAGTAAGTATGCTTGAAGCAAAAAGGAGTAATTTTTTGAGGAGGATTAGTGGTAGTTTGCATTTTGCTGTAATAATCTTTTTAAAATTTTAAATTTCTGCTTTTCGATTATACTTTGCAAATCTTTAAGAATTTGAAAGATGCATAAACAATTGAATGAGGAAATGAATGTAACAGACAGTTAAAACCCAAAGAATCTACAGAAGAGAGACATATTTTACTTTTGAGTAACAGATAAAGCACCCCAAGCTATAACAATATTTTGATCAATGTGGTATGCCCAAAGGGCTACCTGACATTAAGCAGACCACCATAGAGGGATGAGACCAATCACTGGAGGGACAGACAAGTTACAGACATACAGATATAATTGTTTTACATACCTTTTAATTCCTGTAAGTAAAATTTTCCCTCCATTCATAAACATGATTTGATCCACAGGTGTTAAGAATATATCCATTTATGCTAGAGTATTTTAATGTAACTCAATAAATCAGCACAGCTAATTTATTAACATACTTAGAAATTAGCTCAAATATTCCTAACAGTTTGACGCATTCTAGAAATCAATATTTGTTTACAGAAAGTGACTTACTTACTTTTAAATGCTTTTATCTGAAAGTCATGGTTCTCAAATCCAAGTTTATTTCACACAAAAGCTTTCCTTGTGTAATGTGATGGGGACAAAGCTTCTAACTGATTCTTTGGGAAACCTTCAGTGAGATACTGCGTAACTTACATGCTAATGAATACAGCACCGAACATCTCAGTCCTTTATGAGACTCGTCAGGTGCAAAGGTATATTTGTTTATAGTCTGACCGGCTTTGACAGCATTGTAGATCTTTTAAAGGCCATCATAATATTCCTTGATTTCCCTTGAGACATCTGACTAAAACACAATGGAGTGGTGGAAAGTTGTTTGAACATGCTGAGGACTAATAATTAATGTCAACCTAACCCAACTGGAAAGGCAAGTGCTCCTTCACTAACCCTCCCATGATCTTGGACTAGAGTATTTACCATCACAGTTGCCAGGCTCACTTTGATGTTTTTCCCTCAGTTTTGTTACCTTTTTCACCCACAGTCTACCTACTATTTAAATTGTAAACACACTCTGTTTTTGCTGATCAACTCATCTGTTCGTAGATTTCTACTACACATTCATGTTTTATTTTGCAGTAATACAAAGCTGTTCTGACTTGCTCATTGTGGTAGAGTTCTTTTTGCAACCTTACAATTTTTGTTACCATAATTGTTTTTTTTTTTTACAGATCCCATTGCTTTTTTCTATTTTTTAAAAAAAAACCCAAAATTTCATAACAAAATAATAGAATCACCATAATTTATACATTAAGCATTGTTATCTTTAAAGAAGTTAATTAGCGTGCAGCATATGCACTTAAAAGATTCCCCAAATGATAATAGCACAAACTTTCTTTCCAATGAAGTAAGAGAAGCTAGTGTAACTATCTTGTATTTATTTTTGTTTTCCCTTCTTTCCTTCCTTTCCTCTTTCTGCCATCCTAATTCCTTTTTTCTTTTGAATGATTTATTTCTATTTCACAATGTCTATTGTGCATTATTTTGAGTACTGGAAATCAAACTCAGGACCTTGTGCTTGCCAGGAAAGCACTGTTCTGTGTTCCTGGACCCAGAGCCTCAAGTTTATCATTCTTTATGGCTTAATAGTATTACATGGCATAAAAAGACCATATCTTTTTTATCCAGTCCTTGATTAATGGGTATTTGGGTCATGGAAAGATTAAGCTATTACAAATGGTGTTGCTAAACACTACTGCATGTGTATTGCTGTGGTATGATGTTTTTAATTCTTCTAAGAAGAAACCCAGAATGGGGAATAACTGGGTCAAATGGAACCTCTAATGATAATTTATTGAGGAATCTCCACACCTATTTCCACAGTGGTTGCACAAATCTATAGTAAAGGATTATTTTTTCCCCAGTGTCCCTCCAGCATTTTTCATTGGTTATTTCTGAATGTTGGTCGTTCTTTCTGGAGTGAGATTGAATCTCAGTGTTTTAATTTGTATCTCTCTAATGACCAATGATTTAACAATTTTTCATATAGTTATTTGCTACTTGTATTTCTTTATCTGAGAAGTGCTCTTTCAACTCAGATGCCCATTTTTGGACTAGGTCTTTGAATTTGGAGGGCTTGATTTTTTTTCAATTCTTTATATGTTCTGACTATTACTCCTTTGCTGAGGGACAACTAGCTAAAATTTTTTCCTATTTTGTGGGTTTTCTTTTCAATGTATTGGTGATTTCTCTGATGTGAAAAAGTTTTTAGGAAGATGAGATCCCAGTTGTGGATTCTAACTCATAAATAAAAATTTTTAAGATTTGGATATGAC